ATGGAATAGTCTCTTTTAAAAACTCACTAATTCTCACATCTCTGCCCCATGCATCTGGCAATTACCACACTATAAATTTTGTTAGCCAACATCTATAGTAAAGATTCAAACTTCCAACCCTCCGTTTGTTTAACAAATTGTTCTTGTCTATTTACCAAAACATAGTATCTGTTTACCAGCATGTATAGTTCTTATCTATTTACCAATATTTATTGTATATTAAATATTACTATAATTTCCGGGAAAACCTGATAATCAAATAGTGTAGAAACTCCCTAATTGCAAATTTTGTCACTCTAATCTTTTCAGGTTAAAGGATCACTTTTTTCTCTTTCACATTATACAATGTTAGGAGAGCCCCCTGCTGTCCAAAGTAAAATTCTAATTTCAGAAAATTTAAATAAATGGAGCACAATGCCCGCCCTCTCCTCACCCAGTTTATCCTCTTAGTATCACTGCTCTTGGAACTACTAGGGAAAGATTTAAGATTAGAGAGAATTAGAAAAAAGCTGTGAAAAACAGGCCTTGACTTGGGAGGGGAAAAAAAAGTCAGACTCCTAGTTAGATAGATCTCAGATGCCCAATCACCCCAACACACACACACTCCTCAGCCTCTACCCAACGCTTCTAATCCTTCACTTCTTCACTTCTCATTTGCATTTTGCAATACTCCACTGTCTGAGATCCATTAGGTTGAAATGAACCAGAAATTCAGGGGATGAGAACCCAGCAATCTGTGTTTTAATAAGCCCACCAGGGGATTCTGATATATGCCAAAGTTTGAGAAACACTAATTTACAACATTACCTCTTCTGATGAAATGGGAGATTTCATTTCAGAGGCACACAATCTAAATGTGCACACAAGTGACTCAAAGAGTTTGTTACAAATCCAGATAGATTTGCAGGCCCCACCTCGCCCTCAGATATTTTGATTCAGTAGGTCTACAGTAGGATCCAGAAATCTATATTTAACAAGCACCACCGGTGATTCCAATGCAAGTTACTGAAAGGACCATACTTCCTAAGTTACTGATATAGTGAGTGGGGTGGGTAATTCTAGAGCATGGAGCACATTAGGAATATGTTAGACTTGAGCGGGAAACCACAAGGTGGGAAGCATTTAAGATAGCATGGGAGTCCTGGTTCCTTGGCAGAAGGGTGTAGAAAAGGAAGCTGGCACTGGCCAAATATAAATTGTTCTTGTTTTAAAATATTTTGCCTGGGTTTGGTTCTGCCTCATAAAAACAAAAGACCCTACTTCCTTCTCATCCCTATTACTGCATGGCTCCTTTCTCCAAAACCCCAGAAATCAGGCTACAGTTACTGTGAAAGTTATTATGGTTTAACTGAGCTTTTGTTGACTCGTCAGAGAAACTAACCATCATATATGATCATTTTTATGGGAATGTGTTCCTATAAAACAAATATTTAAAAGAAACTTTTGGAACTTAACCCGTTTATAAGTTGGGAATTGGCTGATTTTATTTAATTTTTTATAATTTTGTCTTGAACTTATGGATATGCCAAAGAGTGAGTAGGGAAGAGTTTTACAGTGAGTGGCTGCCAAATTAAAGTTTAATTTGATTTAAACTTTAGAATAGGTAATCACTGATATATATAACCCTAAGTCTTTCTGAGTACAGAGTAGTCTTTTTATTGCTTGCTGTTCCACAATATATAATAAATACCAGCTGCATACATTAATGTACAGAGTATGCATTATATATCTATATCAATATTGAATACATCACACATGCACAATGTATTATATAACTGTCTCATATGCATATATTACAGGTACTTTATATAACATAGAATGCATATGTATAATCAATTTAGGAACAGGCAGCATTATGAGATGTTACATGGCAGTACACTCTGTTTTTAAGCGTTTGGCACTGAAGAGATTAGAAATATATGAACATTGAGTCCAATTATTCACACAACTATTCAAAACAGTATTTTGGGGAAAAACATGTTCAAAACCTCCCCCCAGAGGATATTCCAAAACTTCGGTGCTAAATGAAACCATGATCAAATGCTAGATTCTGAACAGCAAATATGATCTGTGGATTCCAAAGTGGATCAGATAAGAGTGGACCAAGCTAAAGCCACTCCCTCACCTGCCCTGCAAAAAACAATTTAAAGCAACCTTATCTCCAAAGGGGGAAAATATCATATTATTCTAAAACAGCAACCCAAAATGATTAGCCTGAAATACTTCTTCTATGTACCCCATGTAGAACTCTGATTTTTTACCTCCTCTTATAAACCTGTTTCCCACAATACTTCCAAGAAAGCAGATAAGAAGAGAGCCCTCCACTAACTAGGTTGAGCTTTCTCTGTTTGGGGAGAAGGTGGGTGTTGCTCAATAGGAAGAAACCCTGTATTCCTGATGTACCTGGCCAACCCAACCCATCCTCCCCTGGGGATGTTTCTGGCAACCCCTTTCTTCTTGGACTGCATCCAGCTAACACCCCACGTGAGAAACAACTGCCGCTTTGCGCTGATCACACCCCTTGGCATTCCCAACTTCGGTTCTGTTCTGAGTGTTAAGGGTCCCCAGGTGGATATTTTACCATGGAATCTGCATTTTTTTCTCTCGGTCTTTTGAAACATCCATAAACACCTAATAACTTTTCTTACCAGAAATACTACAGCAATTGCTTAAAAAAAAAACAAAAAAAACCCAACAACCTCTAATGCAATTTAGTGCTTTGGGACCCCCCTCTCCTGCCTCCACTGCACCCTTCCAAAAACAGCCCTTCAACAGCTAAGACTATGCCAAAAGTTTGTCGGGCCGACCAAACAAAACAAAAACTCGGGGCATTTAGTTAGTAAATACCATATTTCTCAAGAACACTCCCAGGAAAGCCTTGATAACTTTCAGCGAAAGCAAAAGCACTCCCTTGTAAGATGAAAATGAATAGTGATTCAGAGACAAAGTAGGTCTTTTCATTCCGAAAGTAGATGTACCTGGGAATTAAAAGCCCTCTAAGGCCAAGGAGGGTAAAGCCCAAGAACTCAGCTTTTCAGCACAAGCAAAAGACCATCTCCACTGCCTCCGAGTGGCGGTTAGTTCTTGCTGCAGAGCACCAGCACCACCTCGTGTGCAAAAGTGTTTTGTTTTGTTTCCTCAAGAACCAATTAGAAGCCTACACTCTCTGCATTCTGAATCACAGAGTCTTTACCAGATTTTCAGAAGAGACTGCAGGCAGAGAAAGACCGAAAAAAACTGTTCCTGCCTTGTGGCCAGAAGGCCAAATCTTGGGAATTATCTGTAAGCACTATGTCCAGTACAGTCTTAAGGACATTGTAACTATTTCTTTACTCACGTGACACCCCGCTGACCCTGAACTCCCAGAAAGAAGAGACTTTCTTCCATCTTTTTATTCCCAGAGTTTCCCAGCCCTTGGCACAGAGTTGGCAGATTTAACAAATACCTGAATATATGAAATATATGAATATATGAAATATATGAAAAGGACTCCGTAGAATTTTTAGGTGGGAAAACAAATTAGATCTAATATTAATACCAAACGTTTTCCTCCAAATAGCTTTGCAGGTTACTTTGTAAAATTTACCTTTAGAATTTGATCAAATATGAGAAATGAAACCAACTTTGAGACACAAAAATACATTGATGTGTCTGGAAATTTCAATGGAAAATTAAGTGATTTCTAATTGACTTGCCTGAAGGATGAATTATGAAAGCGAGCATTTCTGAAAATAGGTAATAAAGCTCTAATACTCAAACTTGCCAGAATTATCCTGCAAATTCTCATACACCTAAATACATGTCATATATTAGTACACCTTTAGAAATAATTTGGGCAATCTTACGATGATAAAACAATCTAAGAGCACTTATAATTACTCAGCTTCTTTCTAGGAGTCCTATGTAATGCTCTAACATTCAGAAAGTAAATAAAACTGAATTATTAAAAGCCACCCAATGTGGAGTTTTGCCTGATACAACAAAAAAATTACAGCCAATTCATGCACACCCTTCATCTGTCAAGAACCACAGCAGTGAATTTAGCAAGCCAAGAAAACTAACAAAATTACACAGGCCTCAGCGTCCAAGAGCAGTCTCTCCATCCAAAACTCTTACAAATTCCAAGACCAGAGAACCGTGTGACTAATCCTAATGAAAATAAAAACCAGCTGCCTGAAGCACTATAATAAGTATATATAAAAATTTAAGAACAATGTGATTTAAGTAGGGATAGAACAAGGTACAGAACATAATAGTAAAGAGAGGTCAGTTTGAGAATAACCCCAACCTACTTCTGACTCTCATAGTTCTGCTTTAATAACAGTTCAGAGAAAATGCTCTCTGATGTACTGATTTCTGACCGGAAAATCTTCAAAGGTAACAATCATTCCTATTGGGATTCAATAATAAAAATCATGTAGGTGCCATCGTTATACAGCCCTGATTACTGAAACAGCTACAGCAAAGTCCTGGAGGAAAAGTGAATATATTTCATCATGGATGAAGATCGCGGTTTTCATCTGTTTGACACACTCTTAGTCCGTAAAGCATGTGAGGTTTAGATGGCGGCCCCTCTGTGCTTCCAACATAATTACTATTTTCCTTCTTAAAGATGCCAATTAAATCTTAGAAAATAGGTGTCATTTTAGAATTTCAAGAGGAAGAAAATTAAAAGGAAATATTAAGTCTTAGAAAACAGTTGTGTCCGAAAATTTAATTTTTTTGTAATGGGCGTTTATACAATTCACACTGAGAATTTTTATACATTCACAATGATATATCACAGTGAGAAAAGGCAGTACTAAGACACCTGGTAACACCAGCAATGCCGACCTAAAATAAATACTCAGAGCTCCAACAACAGCTGTGGGGAAACTTTGTGTCTATTTTATTTTAATATTTACAAGTTGAGGGCACACTAGAAATGCTAAGGTGCTATGTGGACATTTGTGTTTGTTAATTGTCAGAGCAGCCCCAGGAATTACAGTGAAATAACTAACCCCTTCCTTTCTCGGATGAGGAGGGCAGGACACAGGGAATTCAGAAAACTTCATCAGGATCACACCAGGCACGACTGAAACTGGCAGGTGGAGAGCCTGCGTTTCAGTCAAGTTGAGGGTCTTTCATGTATCTGGCACTCTGCTAGGCACTGTGATATGAAAACAGAATGCCACAATCCTTCCCACAAGCCTTGGAATCTAATTGGGAAGAAAAGACACACTTATTAAACACATATGAGCAAGGCGGCATGATACACACTTACAAAGCACTTCCAATCTCTTGTGTCTCTGAAGGTACAGTCGCACTTCGTCACCACCATCAGAATTAAATGGGACTGATTGTCCAGATGAAACAGCACAACAGAAAGTTGAGGTATTTACATGATTCCTGATTAAACCCGCTGAAGAACAACGAAATTCCTTCAGCACTCAATCAGTTTCAGGGAATAAGGATATTCTCTAGCTCCATGGTTCCTAAATGTGTGTACATAAGGAACCGTAAGGGTTCTAGTAATGTCTACTAAGAGATTGCTGTAGGCTAGGTCTGTGTTAAGCTTATTACATATATTACCTCATTTAATCCTCATTACAAACGAGAAACTGAGAGTTAACTTGCCCAAAGTCACTGCTAGGAAATGGTGGCATCAGGACTAGAAGACAAGTCTTAGACCCCAGACCCCATGTTCACAGTGCAGTAGGCCTCCACCCTGGCTGTATATTGTACATTTGTATCACCTAGGGAGCTTTAAAAAATAAAAATAAAAAAAAACTTGGCTGGGCATGGTGGCTCATGCCTGTAATCCCAACAGTTTTAAGAGGCCAAGGCGGGAGGATTGCTTGAGCCAGGAGTTTGAGACCAGTCTAGGCAACAAAGTAAGACTGCCCCCAAACCCCATCTCTACAAAAAAAAATAGAAAAAATTAGCTGGGTGTGGTGGCATACGCCTGTAGTCCCAGTTACTCAGGAGGCTGAGGTGGGAAGATTGCTTGAGCCCAGGAGGTTGAGGCTACAGTGAGCCATGATTGTGCCACTGCAATCCAACCTGGGCGAGACAGCAAGACTCTGTCTCAAAACAAAAAAAAAAAGTGCCAATTTCTACACCAAATCCAAAGAATCAGAATCTCTGGGAATAAAGTCAGAGTACTGGTTATTGTTTTTAAGTCCTGCTCGGGGACTTCCAGTGTGCAGCCAGCTTTGAAACCACAGCTATTTCATGCACTCAGAGACTCTGAAATACAGTCTGGCTGATGAAACAGTCAGCCCAGATGATTCTAATACACGGGGTCCATAGTCACAGTTTGAGAAAAACTCATCTAGGGCAGTGGCTCGCAAACTCTAGCATGCATCAAAATTACCCGGAAGGCTTACTGAACCAGTTTGCTGGGCCAACCTCCAGAATTCCTGATCCGGGACGTAAAGAGTAGGGCCTAAAATATGCATTTCTAATAAATCCCCAGGTGATGTTGGTGATGCTGGTACCGGGAGAGCACACTTTGAGAATCACTTTGATTTTCTGAAAAATCATACAGGGAAAAGACAGGTAGATAAATGATCATTTGAGTATCTATGTAGGTGTCTTTATTATACATTTATAGGAATTTGTTTATACTTTCTCTTTTTTCTTGTTTTGTTTGTTTGTTTTGTTTTGTTTTGTTTTTGAGACAGAGTTTTGCTCTAGTCGCCCAGGCTGGAGTACAATGGCTCAATCTTGGCTCACTGCGACCTCCACCTCTTGGGTTCAAGCGATTCTCCTGCCTTAGCCTCCAGGGTAGTGGGGATTACAGATGTGCGTCACCACGCCCAGATAATTTTTGTATTTTTAGTAGAGATGGGGTTTCATCATGTTGGCCAGGCTGGTCTCGAACTCCTGAACTCAGGTGATCCACTTGCCTCGGCCTCCCAAAATGTTGGGATTACAGGTGTGACCCACCCCACCCAGCCTATTCTTTTCTCTGATAAACATGTGTAAGTTTCCCCAGTGTATCAACCACTATACTAAACTCTGAGATTTGAATATGTATCCTGCTCTCAAGAAGCTTATAGCCCAGAATCATAATTACATGTTGTGACTAAAGAAAATAAGAGTCCATGAGAACCCAAAGAAGGGAATGCCTGGCGGGGGGACAATGGCTCATCCGTGCAATCCCAGCACTTTGGAGGCTGAGGTGGGAAGGAATCACTTTAGACCAGAGCTCAAGACCAGCCTTGGAAGCATAGTGGGACCCTGTCTCTACAAAAAAATAAAAATAAAAACAAAATTAGCTGGGCATAATGGTACCTATAGTCCTAGCTACTCAGGATGCTGAGGCAGGAGAATCACTTGAGCCCGGGGCTTTGAGGCTACAGTGAGCTATGCTCGCACTGCTGCTCTCCAGCCTGGGTGACAAAGTGAGACCCTATCTCTAAAAAAAAGCAGGGGACAGTACTCAACTCTGCACAAAAATAGGGGGAGTTAAATAAAGACTTATTTCATAGTGGCAGTAATGCTTGAGTTGAATGTTGAAAGTGAAGTAGAAGTTGCCTGGGTTGACAGGATGAGGAAGGACATCTCAGGTTGCCTTGGAAATGTCAAGCCATAAAAAGGCAGGTACATGGGATCCAAGGTAGGGTGAGTGAAATTTAAGGCTGAGCAGAGAAGTGACCATGCAGGATGGTAAAAGAAGTTCAGGCTTTATCCTGCAGATAATGGAGAGTCCTTGCATGATTTTAAGGTGGGGAGTAACACAATCAGATTTTCACTTTAGAATACCCACTCAAGTAGTAGTATGGAAAAAAGAGAAATGAGGGCAATATCTGAGTCAGGGTGACAAGTCAGGAGACAGTTCAGGCAAGAGAAGATTAGGTGTGAGTTAAGGCAGTATTAGTGAATGTAAAGGAAAAAATGGACATGTTAGATTTCATGGAGGTAAAATCAACAACAGACAGGATATAAAGCTTATAATGACTCCCAAGTTTTTGGCTTGGGTGACCAGTGCAACATGCAGCTTTCACAAAGATAGAAAAAACAGGAGGAAGAGTAAGTTTGAGGAGAAGTAACAATAGTTAACACTCATGGGGAAATTTGCATTAGGCACTACTATGCCAAACTATGCCAAATGTCTTACATGCATGAAATTTTTTTTTTGGGGGGGGGGACAAAGTCTCGCACTGTCACCTAGGCTGGATTACTGTGGCAAGATCTCAGCTCACTGCAACCTCTGCCTCTCGAGTTCAAGGGGTTCTCCTGCCTCAGCCTCCCAAGTACAAGTAGCTCTCACTACAGGTGCATGCCACCATGCCCGGCTAATTTTTTGTATTTTTAGTAGAGATGGGGTTTCACCATATTAGCCAGGATGGTCTTGATCTCCTGGCCTGGTGATCTGCCCACCTCGCCTCCCAAAGTGCTGGGATTACAGGCATAAGCCACCACACACAACTGATCTCTTTTAATCTACAAAAAACTTCGAGCAGTAAATATAATTATTCTCATTTTACAGATGAGGAAACTGAAATTGACAGGAGTAATTTGCACAAGTTACATGGAGAGTAAGTGGCAGAGCCAAGATTTCAAGCTAGGTCCATTTGGCTACACCAGGGGTCAGCAAACTTTTTCTGTAAAGGACTGCATAGTAAATATTTTAGGCTTTGCAGACCATAAATCTCTGTTACAACTACTCCTCTCTGCCATTGCAAGAAAGCTATAGCCAAAAATAAACAATAACAAAAAGAGTGGGACTGTGTTCCAGTGAAACTTTCCTAATAAATGATGAATTTAAATTTTATACAATTTTCATGTGTCATGAAATATTATCATTCTTTTGATTTTTCCAGCCATTTAAAAATGTGGAAACCATTTTTAGTTTGCAAGCCTTATAGAAAACAGGCAGAAAGCCAGATTTGACCTATGGGCCTCAGTTTGTTAACCTCTGAGCTACACAACACTACTGAGAAAGATTACTTTCTGTTTTGGAATGTCATGTTCAGAATGCCTATGGACTGTCCAGGGGGAAATGTCCTGTTGGCAACTGCATAAATGGATCAGGAGTTTGGAAGGGAGATTTGGGTTAGAGACCTGAACTTGGCAATCATTCACATAAAGGTGGCAAAATACACCACAAGGCAAAGAGAGCAAGAAAAGAACAGAACAAAACTATGGAAGACACCAAAATTAAGAGGATAGGAGAGATGTAAAAACCAGAAGGGAGGCTAAGAAGGATCAGAGAGATAAGAGAAGAACTAGAAGACAATATTGTCATGGGAGCCAAAGAAAGAGTCACAAAGAGGGTAGGAGTGGCCAGCAAGGGTAAATTAAATGCACCTGACAGATCAAGAAACACCTGAGAAACATGAAGATTCCAAAGGATTTGGCAATTAGGTCAATAGTTGCCTTCGTCAGAGCAATTTCAGGAAAGTGGTAGAACTAATGTTTCATTGCAGTGGATTCTAAAACAAACGTTGGGATGGGAAAGGGAGAAAACAGGTACAATTTATTTTTTGAGAAGCTTAGCAGTGAATGAAAGAAATAAATGAAGTAGCTAGACAAATGCTTATCTAATCTGGATCCCAGAAAAAGGCATCCTGAAGGCAGCTCCTTCTAGTTCATTCCCACAAGCTATCTGCCTCTCTTGAGTCATGGGGCTGCTAGGACCTTCAGGCAACTGGTGTAGATGAGGCTGTAGCTACACAGGGTCACAGTAGAATGACCTGATGTGAGGTTTCCTTCCCTGTAAACTGAACTCAGAGGTGAGAACCAAAGGCAGTGAATATTGGAGAGAGCTTGGCATTTGACACAGTATGGCTCCTACTAATGATCCACCCTGACTCCACGTGTGAGTACGCTGGTCTTCCTGTCCCACAAAAGCCAGGAGAGAGCCAATGGTAGGCCTGTGTCTTCCCTGACTTCTAAGCTAGCAGGGTACAGGAATGGCAGAGAGCAGAAGGCCTCCTCCAGCATCTCTACTCTACAGGCCTCTACAGCATCAACTACCAGGTCAAAGACCCCTTTGTCTTACATTTCTGCAGGATTCTTGCCTTTTAAGACACACCAGGTCAGGTGCAGCAGTGCACGCTGGTAATCCCAACACTTTGGGAGGCCAAGTTGGGAGGATCACTTGAGCTCAGAATTTTGAGACCAGCCTGGACATCATGGCAAAACCCTGTATCTATAAATACAAAAAAAATTAGCTGGGCATAGTGGCCCATGCCTGTAGTCCCAGTTA